AAACAAAACAAAATTAGATTTAAAAACTGCATTCTATTTTGTAAAAACTTGTAGAGCCATCATTTTCTGTGCTATAGACATTAAAGATGTGATACTGTTTAAAAGAAAGACATACTTTTCCACGTTTTCTGATTTTAATTAGTATAAAATCGTCGGGGGAAAAAAACTTGAACTCTGGTGAAAATCAAGTAAAAAACAAAAAAAATAGATTTAAAAACTGCATTCTATTTTGTAAAAATAGAGCCATCATTTTCTGAAAAATTGTCCGTAAATAATACTGAATTCACCAAAGGCATATTATAAAAATTGTTACGTTTAAATTAATTAAAGTACAGTTCAGTGTAAAAGTGTAATATGTGATGTTAATAGTACCTTTGGTTGAAGTTAGTAGTGAAGAGCTGTTTGGAAAATGAAATTTTTCATGATCTTTACATCTCTGTTTTACCAATGGAGACAATGACATTATGTATTGAAAAAATTATTTTCAATGAAAATATAACTGCATCTGAAATATAATATTTACATTAAGTAGTATAAAAAGTTAATTTAAGTATACTATTATGTAATGGTACATTACAGCCTTGAGTAATAGTCCCTGACAAGGAGAGACACTGCTAGGTTTAGGTTGTAGGGGATATTTGCTGGACGGGGGAAATAAGGTTCATTCTGGATTCCATTATTTCTCCTTGTCTGCGAGAGATGTGTTTCCCTAGTATTTATGTTCTCGTTCTTCATCTTGTTCTTGTTGTTGTTCTTCTTGTTGTTCTTCTTGTTGTTTTTCTTGTTCTTGCTTCTAGGATTGGGCAAGTAATGTTAAATATTTAACAAAATTTGTTTTTTTGTAAAATGTTTGATAAATTAAAAAAATTGAATGTTTTTGTTTTTATTATTTTTTTTTAATTTTTCTTCTTGTTCTTTGTTAGAATTATGCAATGTTTATAAAGATGATTAAATTACATTTTAAAGAGGTTGTCATGCTAGATATATAATTGAAATAAGAGTTCAGTCATATAGAAAAGTTGTTTACAGAAAAAATTTCAGACTTAATGAAATGTTTTTAATGTTTTAAAATATTTTTTCCCAAAAGTGGGTAAATCATTGTTATATTGTTATATCTAAAATTATCAATAAGATTATGTTTTGAAAAAACTTGTATAATTCCCAATCCTACCTAACTGACCCTGCTGCTAGTTTTTGAAGTCGATCAGTTAATCCTAAATAATACAGTACTTGATAAGACTATTTAAAATTGGAGAAAGGAAGTTATTGGGTTTAAACCCTCTTGCCCTGTCCTACATTAAACTTCTGGGTATCAATTAGGGCTGAGCACATTCCAACTCCGGAAAGACAAACTCCAGAAAGACAAACTCTGGAAAGACAAATTCCAGAAAGACAAACTCCGGAAAGACAAACTCCTGATGAGACAAACTCCTAATGAGACAAACTCCTGACGAGACAAACTCCTGAAAAATAAAATTACTAAAGATTGAGAATTTTTTCTAGGATATTTGCGGATTTTTTCTAAAGTTTATGAATTTTATCATATTTTATTCAGAGAATAATTTCATAATTTTAGGAGTTTGTCTTTCTGGAGTTTGTACTTTCAGGAGTTTGTACTGTCAGGAGTTTGTGTTTCCGGAGTTTGTCTTTCCGGAGTTTGTGTTTCCGGAGTTTGTCTTGGCACCGTTTTATACATATGGTCTTGAAAACCAGTGCTGTTAATTTTTTCTAGTGTATTTAGAAACAAATACATGTTCTTCTTTATATGTTAATCTCATGGTTAAATTAATATTTATTAGATTGTGATTGTGTCCTAAAAGGGTTAATTATGAGTTAAGTTAAGGTAAGGTCAGAATATGGAAGCCAAAAACTTTAGTTTTCAGTTCTAAAGCACATATATTTTGAAAATTGAAGTAGTAGTTCATAGAATATGGTTATTTGAAATAAAAAATTCACTAACCTATTGGGTTGTAGGGTGTAGGGGGTTTCAGTAGGATATTCTTTTTTTTGAGGGGAATAAAGTTAACTCCTTCTTTCTTCATTTCAGGATCTACAGGAAATAATTTGTTAATTAATCAATTATCGGGTAAAATGTAATAATAATCATAATCTTTCTAAAAAGTTTCTAATGAAGTAATCTGTGTGTCTGATAATCATTCATAACTATTGATTTATAATGATAACTAAAAAGTTGCAATTAATATGCACTGTTATGAACTATTAATAACAGTGTGATAGGTAAAGGAAGAAATAGATAATAGATCCATTTAGTCATTTCTCAGGACATACCCCTTTTTTTCATTTAACCAATTTTTTTGTAATTTTCCTTTGAACTATTTTTTTGTTCATTTGAAGTATTTCGATTGAACTATTTGTTGTTCAATTGAACTATTCGTTGTTCATTTGAACTATTTTTATGTTCATTTGAACAATTTTTTTGTTAATTTGAACTATTTTTATGATCATTTGAAACATTTCTGTGTATATGATATCTAATTAATTGTATTGTCCCTAACTTCATAATTATAAAAAATTAAAAACTGAAATAGAAGAAAAATAGTTCAAATAAGCAAGTACTGTGTTGATTTGAACTATAGGATATGACGTAATGACAGTAGTTCAAATGAACAAAAGTTCAAACGAACAATAGTTCAAATGAGAGTAGTTCAAATGAGAATCCACCCTTGAGCTGTGTCTAAATCCTTTAAAAACGGGTTTCACTTGAGTGCAGTCTTAAATCTTGGTGAAGTAGATACAATTTTGTGTGATTAGAACCATATTTGAGCAGTGTCTTAAATTTAAACCTTGCCTTAAATTCTTTAAATTCGGCCTCTGGATTATTGATTTATATAGATAAATAAAAATTGGAATTAATATGCAATGTTAGGTATTATTAACGACAGTGTGGGTATGTAAAGAAAGAAGTAAATGTAAAAACAATTAAGTCATTTATGTCACTTTGACATAAAATTTTTTTTACGGATATACTGTTAATATATGTTTGCTATCATTGCAATTCTTTACCTGGTTCAGATACAGTTGAAACAATGGGATTTGGCAACGGTGAAGCTGAATTCTCCACAGTATCTGGGTCCATGACAGCTAGCTGGCTGGCTGGAGGGGTAGCTGTCACAGCTAATGTTGACTCATCCTCAACTGTCAGAGAACTGTTGAATGCTAGAAATATTAAAACTTGAAGAGACTGCAAAATAAAAATGAAAGTTCAGCATTATATGAATTGATCAAGACCCATATTAGTTTTAATTGATGTTCCTGTCTCTTGAAATGAATATAAAAATGTGACAAAATTAGATCTATAAAAATTAATATATTTAAAATTTTGTATAAATTTGACATAACTATATATAAATTAATCAAGACAGGAACATCAGATAACTATTATGAGTTTTGAACAATGAGTTAATTATCCCTTTAATTTTTCCTTTCCAGTCCCTTTAATAATAAATATGTTAATTATTAAAAAATAAAAATATAAATATCTTTTTTATGATTACTAAGTGTTAACACAATTAAAAACTTTACTCTCCTGCTTTAAAAATATGACTTATTTCAAGAATCAATACATTTTAAGCTTACTCCTATGTGGCCTGTTTTGCACAAATATAAATGCCCAGTTCAAAATTGTACAGTTGTACCCTTAAAAAATAAAAGGGGACTGACTTGAAATTGTTTATTATTAAAAAGTTGCATTAAATGTTGTAAACTTATGAATAAATAATTACAAATTACAACATAACATTATTCAAGAAATTAAAAATGTAATTGAATGTTTAAATAAACTTATTGCAGATATTTATGTGATATTTGATAAAAGAAAGATTTTATGGATAGCATTGCAAATGAAGCATTGCCATGTTTGCAAAGTGTTAGTTGAAAGTGGACATAGGGTTCTTTTGAAGACTTTTGGTATATGGTATTTTATCCTTATATATAGGATAATGTTTTATGTGCATTGATATTTTACTTAAAATTTATTATGTAATTGTAAAATTTGTATGATTCTGTATACCTGTAGGATTAAAATTAATTGAAGGAACAACTCCATTAGTATCTATGGGATTATAATAAACATAAACGTTTATAGTGGAGGATTGCTCCATTGTCTGAAATATATTAGTTTAAAATAGTTGAACATAACATTATGTGATTTTGCATTTGTTGACAGGAAAAACATTGAGAATGCAATAAGTACAAATCACTGTTCAACGAATATGTATTTGTGAAAATGGTAGTATTGTAAACCAATTTAATATCAGTAGAACAATAACTAAGATAATGAATTACAAATACATTTGCTAAAATATTATAGTTAGTTATATAAACTAATAAAACAATAAATTAATTGCTCAAAATGTTAGGAGAGTTTTGTGTGGACATGACTGGAGAGAGTGTTTATGAATCATCAAAATTTGAAGAAAAAAATTTGGAAATGTGTCAATTTGAATTATAAAAAATTGAAATAATAATAATTGAAATATAAAATTTAGAGTTTATTCTAACATATAATTGAAATAGATAGAATTAAATGTTGGTCTGTTCCAATAGACACCTTTCTTTGATAATAAATATACTCTAAAAAGTTTATAAAAGTGTATTTATTATCAATATCGGAGGTAGACCTTGCCTATCGCTAACGTCGAGAGCCAAAAGTATTTTGTGATTAAAAAATTAAAGAATGAAATGACATTTTGCGAAATACTCTGGACTCCCCCTAGAAATTTTAGTAGAAGTTTTAGTAGTAGTTCTAGTAGTGGTTAGTAAGTTAAGTTTCGTAGTGGTTAGTAAGTTAAACTAGCATAAATAATGAATATATATGAACAGTTTCAGATACTGTTCATGTTTGTATATAGTTTTGCTATTACGGAAATGACACTGACAAATGGTGAGCCCACTATTGGTTGATAATGCTCCTGAATAAGCGGATAATAGTTAATATAAAAAGCTTAAAATTAGAATTGATGATGGAAAATATGTAAGTTTTAAAAATATATCAATGTAAATAATGTTCCTCGCCACATATTATACATCTGTATCTTTTTTTAAAACCATCATTTGTCATATTCAACACTGGTATTAAGATCAACTTAAACAAAATTTAATTGATGAGAAACAAATACCATCTATATATAAATTTGGCTTGTCTGTCTGTCTGTCTGTTTGTCTGTCTGTCTGTTTGTCTGTCTGTTTGTATCCAATAAACGTCAAAACGGCTGAACCGATCGGGCCCAAATTTTTTGTGGGACATCTAGGGAGCCCAGGGAAGGTTTATGAATCATCAAAATTTCAAATATTTGTCTCTATCAAAATTCGATCGTCATTAAATTTTTAAAAATTTTGAAAATCCGCGAAATTTTTTGTAAAAATCCGCGAATTATTTTTGTTTAGTTTTACGATGTACACAAAGAGAACATGTTTACAATTAATTTAGAAGATGGGCGCGAAGCGCCCTCTAAGGCTAGAAAGAATGGCGCGAAGTGCCTTGAATTTCTAGTATTGATATATTCAGTTTCAAAAATTGTAAATCTACAGCTATGGTTTTACGGAAATGACGGTGGCCGATGGTGAGGCCTCTTGTTTTTCATGTGTAACCTTAGCACAGAAAAAAATTTAATAATGAAATTTGCAATTGGAGTCAACAATTGAATGACACAGAATGAATTCCAGAAGTGATAAAACACCTATGATTCTGGTAGCCCCATTTTTATTAGAAGAAATGACATGTTGGTTTATATAGTGGACTCTTCTTAGGTTTTAGTTAAAAATAAAATATATGTATATAGCTATGCTTCAACGGAAACGACAGTGACCGATGGTGAGGTCTCTTGTTTTTCATGTTTAACCTTAGCAAATAGACACAATTGTGTTAGACATGTCATAATTAAATGAATATTGCAGTTTAAAACCCAATTTTTTTCTTCAGTAATCATTTAAATGAATTACTGTAAAAAATTTAACACTCCATTCTTCACGGCAAGATTGTCCCTAAAAAAATGAAATTATATGATGAATATTTTATTTTATATATAATAACAAAGAACTGTAATGATGAAGATCTTATCATATTTAAAACGAAATTATCATTTTGATGAAAAGAAATTTTAAAAATAAAATGTAAATTCAATTATTTAAATTGTTTAAGTTTGAGCAAATCATAATTTAAGATTTGAAAAATGGAGATTGTTGTTTTAATGACTTTTATTTACAACTGTATATTTAGATTGAGTCAAGATACAGAGGCTAACAGAGAAAGAAAGCATTATTTAATTTTTAAATACCTACAAGTTGATATTAATTTAAATTTGAAATCAATTAATCATGGAAATAGTGCAAGCAATAACAAATTTTAATCAATCAATCAAATTTTTAACCAAAGATGATGTATTAAATAGATATTTTATTGTAGAAGTAATTACCTTTAATAGAGATTATTGATGACATGTGTCAGGTATACATGAACTGGCAGAAGAGAATACCTATCAGAGTCTTGAAGCAAGTTTGAAAAAGAAGGTTAAAATAATGTTTTAAGCTTATAAATGCTTGATTCACTTCTGAATCGTGGAATAGTAGAAGTTGTGATTACAAACTTATGGTTTGAGGAGTAGGGTAACCCTCGTTTCCTCAAACTAATGTTTACAAACTCAACTACTTACTATCCATGATTGTTAGCACAGAAGGATACCCAGTGTTACACCACTGAACCAAACATTGGGTATCCCCGCTTAAAGAGCAACATGCTAACTTATTTTTAAATGGAGGTCCAGTGGTTGTGAATTTTTAAAGTATTTATCCATTTAATAATTGTAAGAATAAGTAAATCTTTTGAATATAACAAGAATAATTGAAATGAAAAAGTAAAAATAATCTGTTAATTATGAGAAAGAAAAAATATAAAGGGAATGAGTTGACCTGACAAAACATGGATTCCCCACCAATTATTGGTATTAAAAGACCTAAGAATCCATGTTCATCTAACTCAGATCAACTGATCAAGGCATATGTCCAGGGACATATGCTTTGAAGAAATG